CACTGAGCGAGCTTTTGCGTTTTTTGCCCAAATTCAGTTCGGCCACGCATTGGACATCACCCAGGCACACGGTATACATATTTCGTTCATGAATACTAATTTTATGAATAGCTATTTGAGAAGTCAAAAGTGAGAGGTTATCGGGGTTACTATAAGACAATATAAAAGGTCTTTGAATAAGCGTTTTCCAGACATTATACCCAGGACACATCCAGTAAAATACGGCCTGGAAAGGGTTACATAACAACTTCGGATTACTGAGATGACAAGTCTAAACTCCGACTTCGTAGATTATTCTTACCACATGCCAAAATGCAAATCTCATACACGTTGTTATATAAGCGCAAAAGTAGGACATGTAAGTTGCCGAAAGCCACGACAGGTTGAATCGAATGATTCTATGGATTATAGGCTAGTACGAAAGGGGTGGGCAGTGTCATCAGGATCTAATTAATACACTGTCTGGCAGTTTGTAAACGTTGTTCTAGTACCCAACTGAGTAGAACCTAACAAGGGATACGGGCAGCGGAACAGAGCGTGCAAAATTTGGGTTTCTTAGGAAGGAGAGAATGGTGGCAGAGGAACGGCAAAGGATTAAAAGAAGAATGCGGGCATCTCTCCGTCGTCAGCTTTAAGAATGATAGAGCGGAACGATCAGAAGTCATAAAAGTCTTTTCAAATTCTTTGTGAAAACGATTTTCTGCATAAGATAAATTCGAGATCAGCTGTAAAGGCAGCACTCAAATATCGCATAAACGGAATTTCATTGGGAGAAAGTCAAAGGATTCAGGACTAGAAGAGGTTGGGCGACATAGAACGCAGTTAAGGTGAAGATGCTTTTGACGGACAAGTTAAAAGTTCCTCGAGGCCTTCTTTTGGCAACCATTATCGATCTCGCTTTTGACCAGGTGAAAGCCCCGCCGACCTCCCTAATGCCCCGTGGGGATTTAGGCGGCGATAGGGCGCTGAACAGGGATGGAATACGGGGCTGTGGACGGGTTTTGGACGCCGTAGCCCCTTATTGGCCCCTCGCACGAAAAAAATGCGCAGCGGGACACCTCCTTTCTGCTTTTCCCCGCTACCATTTTAAGATAACGACCTTGTTGTTCTCATTATAATGTCTTACACATGGCGCAGCGTAGTCCAGAATCATCTCATGTAACCCATATATATGTAGACGTTCTAGCGCATACGCGCTTAGTCCTCTCCATAACAGTATCGGACAATGAACGCAATTAAACGAGAAGAAGTAGTTTATTGGTGACAAACAAAGTAATGAAAATGTAAGGAAAGTGTGTACAATCGCAGAAATTATCAGTCAATGTGTAGGAAAGTGTCCGTTGTGTGCGGCAGACCACCTAATAGAAAGGGCAATAAATGAAGTGTTAAAACAATAAATAATCGAAAAGATGGTTAACTTGGACTGCTGAACTGGAGAGGTACGCGCCAAAATAGTGTGCGATTTGAAATACGCAATAAATAATTGTGTTAACACGTTCAATGATGACAATAGTTGGCTATTATAAATTTGTCGCCGCAGAAGTTTTGCTGAAATAAAATATAATACCCCACTTAACAAAGCATGACTTCTACCATAGTAAAAAGAACAAGTAAAGAAAAGGATTAGGTCATCTAAAAATAGTCATTTCATTGTCAACTGTATTTTCTCCAGTGGGATATTGCATAAAACTCTTAAAATGCGAGGAATATTTATACCACTTAAACAACTGCAGTTAATGACTTTACCCTACCTATGGCATTTAATATTTACCTTCTTATCTAATATTATATTAGTTATGAACAAGATGTTAATGGTAACATAAACGTACAATATAAAAATCGGACTTACGGTGTCCCTGGACGGAGATAATGTTGGAAAGAGTTCGGCCTTAGTGGTTCCTTTGGACACCTAAATGTATAGATGACAAAAAAGTGACTAAGACTGACGTACATTCCCGATGCTGTCCTGGCGTCTTAATCAGACACCTCATCGGTCTCTTGACCTATGCAACCAATCGATTTCATTTCTTCGAACTAGCTCATCCGAGCAGTTACTAAATAAATTATTTTGCCAAATGGCCTCTGCTGTGTTACAAAGAAATAAACTTAGGACTAAGCATGGGGAGTCGGAGTACGAGCGTTTTTCCTTAGAACCACCACAGCGGAAGTTGAGACAAAAGGGCGGTCCTAACGGAGCATTCAGAAGATGCCGTACAAACTACCTATCAGTGCGACCCCCACAATATTAAGCCGTTTAACCTGAAAAACGGAAATAGTTAATTGATTTCCATATATACGTACCACCTCTTCTCCAAACTGTGGCTCAGCGTGCAGTGTAGCGAGGAAGTCTACATACGCCTCGGTGGTGCGCAAAGGCAGACGCACTGAAAATGCTTTGGTTTGGACAAGCGCCGCGGATTGTTGAAGGACACCATAATTTTCGACAACAATCGCCTTTACTTGATGCACCCCATTTAGCAACACCACCATCTGCTGTGGGAAGGAGTCCATTCTCCTTCTTATCGGAGGTCAGCTTGGAGGATAAATGGTTTACCATACAGCAGCGAAACCAGCTCGCGCAGATTTGGATGACTCCTGTGTGGCTAGTGTTGAAACGGGGATAGTTCTTTTGCCTACGTCTGAAGGACGAGGCATGTCTTCCTCGTTTATGGACTTACAAATTGTTAGAGGTAGTGGTTTTTGCTGAATTATGGGTGGCGGCGTTGGCCAGCCAGCTAGCCGCCTTTTTGGCTGCCTTGAACGATCGTGTGCGTCGTCGTCGTCGTCGTCGTCGTCGTCATCGTCGTCGTAGTCGTCGTCGCCGTTGTTGTTGTTGTTGTTGTCGGCAGATGTCAGCCGGAGGGCATACCTATATGAAAATATATTTTGTATGCTGCACCTACTTTCTCCTAAAGCCTCTTCCCAATTCCTCGGACTCTTTACTGGCGAGGTGGTCCGTATCTTCCGCCCTATGTGCCACACGGCGGCCTTCTCCAGGGTAAGGTTTTCTTTCGAAACCATCACTGGGTAGACTTCACTACCCTGTGGCGGGCGTTCTTTTCTCTTTAAGAGTCTTGTGCGATGTTTGTCAAACCGCGCCCACATTACGCAGTTCTTGTTCACGAATCAAGAGGTCGCGACGACGGCGGCCGTATTTTCGTTTATAAACTCAACAACCGAGTAAATCTGCGGGATAGTGTGAAATCGCAGACGTTGCACTCGACAGAAAGTGTAATTAGAAAATGCTTAGTAAACATGAAATTCTACATGAACAATGTGTTAAAAAGAGGATGAGATACAAAGTCACCCGGAAAAGTCATTTCTCATCAGAGGTACGCAAGAGGGGAACAAGGAAAAATTCATTGTCAATTCTAAAGAGAACGTATGTACATACGATGCCCGATAGGGCAGAATTGGTGGGAGAGTCCGCCAAAGCGGAGGCTTTAAACATATAAAACGTGGAAGAGGACATGGCCGTTGTAAACGAGTATCGGCAATTTAAAAAGGGACGGTAATGTAACTCGGTAGCCGACACAAATGTCAGTGCGCACAGTCTACCGTCGATGAGAACCACATTATCGGACGCTTTCGTAGACAAGACATATCCGTTATGTAATATTGCGGTCGACCCATTGGGTAACAGTAACGACCGTGCGACTCCCCCATCGTCGTTCAACAACATGGAAGGTGCTGGTAACTCAGACAGATCTCTCGCACTGTACCGTCAGAACGCCTGTGCGGCGACGCTTGTTGGCTCTTTTATGCAGCTACGAACGTTTTGCACTAAGATTTTAAACTAAATGCAGAAAATCCGTCCAAATCTGCATACCGACTGACATTGTCAGGTAACTGAAGAAGAGGATGAACATTGTAAATAACAGTGGCATTGTTGTGTAAAAGTGGAAAATCAAAAAGAAAATTATTCACCAAAAGATAGCGAAATCTACATGGAATATATGCAAACTTGAGTTACAAAATATGTAAACAGCAACGGACAGGAGAAAAAATGATTGTGACGGGAGTCATTTAGAAAAGGAAGCAAAACAATAGAACCTATACATTAAACATTGCGGGTATTCGGCGGCATTTCCATGAAAACTCAGCAGGAAAACTCGGACTGCATGTCTCGATGGTGGCGTTCAGTTGGGTGGATGACCTGTTGGCTCCCAGTCGCCATATCATCAGTCTATTTAGCGTACTGGTACACAACAAGCAATCTCAGGCTATCGACGAGTGCCGGAGAGAAATGAGGATTGGAGACAAAATAACTTAGCAAGTTGTTGTGTGGGTGGGCAGATACCCGATTGTCAAATTAGACAAAAAGCATGTAAGGAAGAGTTACCTTTAAGTCAAAATATCGTTTAGCCTAGGGTTCACTACTTGGTATTTCGAAAAAAAGTATGGCAAAACACTTGAGTGGAAAATTTGCTAGTAAGTGTGCACATGTACGTACTCAAAGGTATATCCTGATATCTGAAATCAAAATGGGAACTAAAGCAGTAATATCTAACTCGCTAAGTGTTAATTTATGGGCAAAATATATGATAAAGGGAAAAATGTCCAAAGTCGGTGACCATGTAGAAGACAAACCGTTTGGTGAGACTCAGAGCTGCTAGTAAAGGTGCAACTTGGCGAAAAGATTTCGGACAAAAAATATTACTGGAAGAACTTCAGTGAATTTGGTGGTAATTTGGGATGAATCCACATTAAACTGTTTATACTCTGGCTTGTTTCAAAATGGAAGGAGTTACTTGCAAATACGAACAAATCTGATTCAAATAAGTAAATAAGCTACGATTCTTTACTTAAGAATGCTGATTTTTAGTGTGTTCTCATTGGGGATGTTGTAATCATAACTTTCGTTGTTTAAACAAGCTTTTGTTGACCGGCCACATTTAACCTGTTCTCGCCGGCCCTCAGCCCCCCGGTCCGTCTTTCTGAGGTTGCTGTTTCGTCCCCTTCTTACCCGTGGAATAACTGCTTTCACAAAGCCACTAGCTATGTTCGAAGAAAAAACACCGGATGGGTTCATACAGGTGCTTCCTTGTCCCGCTGTTTGCTTCTCGCCCACGCCTATAGGCGAGCGTGGCTTGCTTGTTACGATAACGTTTATTTTGAAACAACTTGACGGTAGAGTTAAAGACCTTTGTTCCCATTTAATGCTGTGTAAAACTTGTCTTGAATAGTTTGAAGAGTTCATTTTTGGCCATTGCCTAATCTAGGGTCTATTGCCACGTGCTGTCACACAGTTATTTGTCGCGTAGACTGTGAATGCATGTTAACCATTTCAAGGGATCTCGATGTAAAAAGTCAACTTACGTCCTCGTGGCCTGAACCCTGGTCTGAGGCTATTATGCAGCACATAAAATTCCTCAGACGATGTAGAGGTAGTAAAACATGTCCAGAAAGCAGTTTTAAGTAAATAAAAATCCATTGGATTCCACTAATCATTACTAACTAAGGTCCTTAAGGCTTCACTGATCATTTAGGACATGACATTGTCGGTCAGTTATATCCGGACTCTTGGCCGGGAAAACCGGACGTTCGGACACATGCCCAGTTGGTAGTTGAGTCTATCGTTCGACCGTTTGTGCCACGGCATTAAGCCCTGTCTTTTGCTGCCGGGAATGCTGAAAGTCAGGGGTGTGTAGCGTTTATTGGTCTGACCGATTACGATGCGTAATACACGCATCCCATTTTTTGTATTTGGACGCCGAATTCGAATGACCTTATGACGACATCCCGATCCAGGTCCGTAATATGGTTAGCTGTTGAAGCTAAGTAGGCCGCAAATGACTATTTCATCTCCCCTTGCATTTTTAGTGATTATTCTTGATGCCTGACCGTCCGTATATGACAATTTGCAAAATAATCGTGTATTTTAACTATAGGAGGGCCCCTGTCCCAGCACAATTGGTTACTGTTTCCTGGTTAGTGTTTCTGCATCTGAAAATCCAGCTTAAGAGAGTTTACGGTCAAGTCAACTACCCCGTGGATATAATAAGTTGGTCTCAGAGAAGGTTATGGGAGCAAAACAGCATGAGCGTCTAAGATTGTGGGGCAGTTTATACTCAGTCCGTATTTACGTACAATGCCAGTCATACCATTTGGTCAAGAGTTTAATCTTGTCTTTGCCCTTATAGAGCCTCTTATTAAGGGTTTGGGCTACGTTTGGTGGGTTTCGAGAAACCCGATTGACATCTGGCAAATCCGTGTTATGTGCATCTCGTGAAGCCACTGGTCGAGGGAAGATCGCAAACAATCCTTACTCCTTGTCATTTTCGCAACATACTAATGGGCACGGTCGACTGGTGCTCGTTTAGTAGTATTTTAAGACTTTCTGCTGACAGTTTGTGTTTAATCAAGCTCGTTAGCACTTAAAACAACTTGCCCGTATAGTTGACCTCTGAGTGTCCCGGCCTGGTAGGTACCAGCTATGCGTTCCGCATAACTAAACTGTTACACATGTTCGGTGGTTCGCCAACTTCTTTTTGACGACCGCGTTTTGACGCCATCTCACGCGTCTGTCGTTTTGCACCTGCTGTGCTTTGCGTGCATTTAAATGTCACAAGATTCGCACTTCATTTTTAAGATGCAGGAAATCATTCACTCTTAATCCAACTGACTTAATTTCACTCTTCAGGTAGAAGTACCGGATTCGCCAGGTGAGAGGGCTGAAACACAAGCTGAGCCATCGCTGCTGCAGCAGGAATCTCCGCCCGTCAGCACTGTTGCCAAAACTTCCCATGATGATGATGATGCTGATGAAGATCTCAACATCAACGATCTTGATGCAATAGATGACTCTGATTTTGAGGACGAGACCCTTGTAGAGCGACTGATCGGCCTCACCGAAATGTTCCCCGAATCCTTCCGAAACGGTGTCTGTACCTCAGTCTCAGCCGTGCTGACTGGAATCAAAGGCACATATTCTCTGAGTCGCGGTCTTTTATGGTTTATAGCTAGCACCTCAACCGTGTGCTTCCTTCCTCTACTGTTAGAGTTAGAACGGGTTCAGGTAGAGGAGCAGGAGGCCGTTGAGCAGAGGACCATGATGCTCGGCCCCACTGCGGTTGGCGGCGCTGGCCACAGCGGTCTGGCTGGCTTTTCCGCTACTGTGCCTGTCCTTACACCTGTTCAGAAATGAACGAGCATGAACGTTTTTGTATTTTTAGATGATACTTGACTGCACTACCTAAAACACTCATCAATTTGGTGCTTGCAGAAGTTTTTACCTGTCGACCAAGTCATGTACTATAGTAGGCGTTTATACCTAATTTTGTCTCATTACTTGAAAATACTGACAGGTCACATCAAACATGATCGGCACGTTGAGGTTTTAAGTGTAGTTCGTCTGTTATACCGAGGTTCTCCAGGGAACACTGACCACGCCATAACGAGTGTCCGAACCGTCGTTCCTATCGTCAGTTCATCTCGGGAGTGCTTTTAGGGAAACCGCGAAGGGACGCGACTATCCGCCAACTTTGTCGGGAATTTCACTGATCTGCCGCCACGTGACTAATATCATTTTTCGTTTTGGCAAGTTTTAGTATAGATTGCTAACGTACTGTCCTATAGGGAACAGGCAATTTTAGAATCCTCTGGGGTTAAGTGGTCTGTAACCGATGGGTTGGGAGAAAGGGTCATTTGTACCGTTGACAAGGACTTTTTTTCTTGATCGCATGTAACCCTGTGACAATGCTGTCTGAAGTCGAGTCATTGCCCTAATAAATGGACGGATTGGAACGCGTGCCCACGCGGCGCTCTGCATCAGAAAACCACTTTCACAGATCGACAATTAGAAAACAGTAGTCACAAGGGGTAGTAGACGTGAAAACCACCACACTGTTTTTGAAAAAAAGGTGACAAGTTGGTGTTCTGCTGTTCTGGAATGATTTCGGTTTCTGCCTTCAACCGATTTTTGTTGCAGTTTGAATTGGAGGCTCACAGGCGAGACGTTGGGCTCTATTATGTGAAGTAGTTCATTCTCCACAAGCTTCTGCTGTGCGATGACAATCGCCAATTCTCACCTTCGACCGGATTTTGTCCTCACATATGGCTTCCAGCTTTGAGGAAGACATTTACGACCGAAAGAATATCGTTCGGCCAACACGCTACCACCGTAAGGGACGGGTTAAACGAAAAACGACTGGCATATGGAAAGTAGTGACTGTGGACCGGGTTCATGACTGCATAAAACCCAGCGAGTTACCTCATTATGATCAAGTTGCTCATGATGTTGACTGAATGACCTTGCTCCCTCTCTGACAAGGATGGTGGAGCTCACAACCTGTCAGCATCATCCTTCGAGTGAAGTTAACCGACTTCGTCTCAAATGAGATAGTCCGCGCTCGCTGCGACAACATCGCGAGGATAACTGAGGCCATCCAAGAAAGACGACTGAGGTGGTTCAGGCATGTTCTTCGTCGTCCACCTCAGGAGCTCAGTGTTACTGCCCTCGATCCGGCACCGTTGCCCCATTGGAGGCGTCGAAGAGGGGGTCAGTTCGAAACCTGGCTCGACACAGTTTGTCAGGACATGGGGGTGGTTCTTGGACCCTCGGTATTCGGTCTCCGTCGTTGGCGAAGGGAATGGGTTGAGCTGTCTAGATCTGCTGCCGCGGATCGTCACGCGTGGAGAGGTACATTTCGGGACATTATCGAGGCCGGCTAGATCAGGCATGATCGCAGCCGTATCAAGTACAAGCAAGTAAGTACAACCCGTCAGCGCTTGGACCGTTAGACAGAATAACGCGACTAATAAGGGATTCCTTGGTGGGACTGCAGGAGTTATTGCTTCAGCTAGCACCGGTGGTGATTTGGCCGGTCTCTACGCCACACCATCAGTCGTGAATTCTCGCTGAGGGACGCGGTGTAGGGGATGTTCGCGGCCGACTCTACCCGTGCGTAGGGTCCTAAGACGATGCCAAGCAGCATTTGCCACGTCGTAAAACCGTGTTAGCTTGCAACCCTTCCAAACGCCAGTGGTTTTCCAGATCGTTCCTCAGCCATTCTTGAAAGCAGGACCGAGGAATTGTTCGTGACTGCCTATTGGCCATATTCGCGACACGTTTTCAGAGGGTGATCGTTTCACTATCCACCATCTGGCGCCAAGACTCATTAAGTGTAAATTCTTGCCTTTGCAAAACATTTGACGAGCATCTGGCACATTCTTACGTCCCAAACCGGATGCCTCGCTCTACTTGGCCGTGATTACGCTTAATTCCTGACGGTAATAAGATTAAGGCTGACTGGTGTTGTGAAATCTCGAATTTTTGAGGTGAGTTGGTTGTTGGGTCAGACCAGCTGTTTAGGCCGTCCCGACTGTAGACATTAGAGTACGGTCGTGAGGGAAGTACGTGCAAATACACCAACATGTGAGACTATTCGAGGGTCGAGAAACCTTAATCAGGAATAGGGACGGATAAACGTGACTACTGTCGTCCCCACAATCCCGCGTTCCCTCGAACGGTAGACTCTCCCTGGTGGTTTATCATCAATCACTTTCTCGTCTCTAATTGCGCGTAGTTTGATATGCGGAGGATAGCTCGGTATGTATGCTGGTCTGCCCATGTTTGGACTCGGCCGCCCTGGTTGGTTCTGTCAATATCAACAAGAGATAGTTGTTCGCGTGGGGTGACCGTCTTGTACTGGGGTTGTCAGCACTCTGGCCTGAATGTCTCCCGGACCGATGAACGGAACAAGTGTGGTGATCAACCCTCAATTGCTCATTCCAACTTAAGTGGTGTTTCTGGCCACACAGTAGATGTGCTGTCCCACGAAATGTTAACCGAAATTCTAAAAGGTGCCGCGAATTCGAAAAGATCATCCATGAAGAGCTGTGATGCTAATTACCATGCAACATGATCACGTGAGAATGCCCGCTTTTGAAAGAGTTTCTTGACGGCCGCTGATTGGTTCTCGGGAAACTTATTACCTTTGCTGTGCACTGTCAAGATCGGCAAGAGATAGTTGTTCACGTCGGGTGACCGTCTTGTACTGAGGTTGTCGGTAGTTGATTACTTTGGCCAGCCTATGCCTCAGCACGGAATATGGAGTGGGGATGTCGTTGCACTTGTTTATTGACTGAGGTCCTGTGAAGCATGACTCAAGCAACTCGAGGCTCACACGATTATCCCCTATCGCAAGAATTTCGGTCTCATCGAGCTTGAATGTGTGGCCGAGTCTTGTCGAACCGGCCGTGACCTAAGACTTGACGTTTTTTCTCCGTACCGTTGCTGCGTACTCGGTAATTCGCGTCCAAAGAAATATACCAGTTTCTCCGACGTAGTTGCTTTGTCCGAAACTTCACCAGATCTGGCAAACGACACCTGACGTTTCCTGCCTCATGACTTGACGCCTGATGGTCGCTCTCGTCATGTCCAAACTGTCAATGGGCAATAGCAGTGAACAGGCGAGTTCCAAGAAGCAGTTCAGAAGAAGAGGAAGACTCGATCACTGGAACAAGAAGTTTATTGGCATGACGTTTCGGATCCCCACTCGATCCCATCATCAGAGACGAGATAAAGGGCTTTGTTGATAGAAGCGAACGGGCGAGTTGCAGGACGAAATTCAGAATAAAAAGATGTGATCACTGAAACAAGAAGTTTATTGGCATGACGTCTCGGATCCCCACTCAAACCCATCAGCAGAGACAGTCGCTGATAAGAGTAGGGGAGGCACAAAGGACTGCAGTATTTATAGCACGTGACAATCGTGGCACCACATGCATACTATAGCTAACGACTCTTGCGATCACCGCTGAGGGTCGTAGTTGATGCCATGATGGTTCGTTAGTCCGCGCCCGAGTCGTTAATTGCAATTTTTATGGCGGCCGAAAGGCAGCTCGTTTAAAAGATGACATCCTAGCGTAGCTGAAATATCTCGGGATTACATGTTGCATGATAATTAGTAGTACGACTTCTCCTAAGTAATCTTTTCAAATCCAAAGCATATTTCAAAATTTTGGTTAACATTTCATGTGACAGGGAATCTGCTGTATGTGTTCCTATACTTTCGTCCAACGCACCGCCCGATTGCGCCCGGCCCACCTCACGACAGGATGTCAGTAACTGAATTCTCCGTACCGTGGTCACATCAAATAACGCAGGAAAATTGAGTTTAAGTCAAGAGGGGAGTTCGTGGTTATTGAGCAGTTGCGTGTTCACATCACGTCGAGGTCACCAATATCGCAGCAGCCTAGGCCGAGACCCAGATTCTGGCTACCATGACCTTCGGTTGGGAGGATTGTTTATTCTGTACAGAATAACTGGGAAAGGGAGGCTGGAGAGAGTTAACAGTCGGAGGAAAGTGCCTTCGGCGCCGGGAGAGTGGTGTCTCGAGCGTTCATCAGGAAATGCATTAAAGCGTCTTAAGACAGGGCACGTGTGACTCGGTCTTGAATCCGATTGGTCAGTTGGAAAGCCGAGTGGGCAGGTGCCAGACAGCCGTGGTGCGCACTTGCACACTCTCGCGGGAGGCCCAGCGTTGAGACAGGCGCTCGGAGTAGATCTTTTGCAGGTTTAATAAACCTGAAAGACCTAGTCATCCTACTTCGGAGGTTTCCTGGGGATCTTGAGCGCAGTCAGACTCCCAATGATTGTTTGAATCGTTTAGATCACCCTGCACTTTTACTCGAGAGCCTAACAACAGGGCAGGGGTGACTAACGAGTTTATTTAATGACGGTTCACAATCACTATGTTACAGTACCATCATCGGGCTTTTTGGTATTGTATAAGGCAGTCAGCGCGCCAGATCTCTTGCAGTACGCAATTCGGGTTCAAGTATGAAAGTTGCCTAATGCCCATGTCCTCAGTAAACACGAACAAAGAAGCACACCGTGCTCTAAAGGGGTCTCTAATTCTGGAATCTTGTTCACAGCGTTTCACGCCCGAACTAAAATTCCTGAGAAGAACCCTTCGAGTCTGCCATGTCTTGAACAATCAGCTGGAACTCCCGCATGACATATTGCAGCTTGTCATCAGGAAAGTGTTCTGTCCATTGTCCCGCATCTCTACCGGGTCAAGTTAATGCCGCTCAGTCGGCGGGTACTATTTTTGGCGACATGTCTGATGTCAAGTGCATGCAGACGACGGTTAAAGGTTTAGTGGGCAATATTCCTTTCGGACGGGACGACTTTGATCCCAA